GCAGATACCGAAAGCAGATTTGGAGTCAGCGTTCCATGCTCTATAAATTAGCGTACATTTCGTATGGAAAGGCCACTTCGACCAAGTAACCTTCTCTTGTAAGACTAGAGTCTGCAAAATGGAAGAGTTCAAGCTATTGTACAGATCCTCGACAAGGCAGCTTTGGCCAACAAGGTCATAACTGAGCCAAGATGTTATGATAGTTTTATAAACATTCACAAAAAATTGTAAAATTAGTGTTCTTAAGATAAGAATCTGTGGAAAGTTCTGCAGTCTCTGGATCCGTACTTGCTTAAATGAAAAACTGCAACTGCTGCTACGCAACGTTTCAAGAATGACTTAGAAGGCAGTGGCTCAACATCTGCGATCTTAAAGTACTGGTTGAGCTGAGTCCCAAACTATGCTCTGCTTCTTCTGAAGATATTGACAACTCGCTTTTCCGAACGTGGAAAGTGTTGTTTATCCGGGAAGTTAAAGTAGAGAACGAATATCTCGTAGAGTGCGGAGGGGTGAAGACACCCCCACCCTTCTCAGCGGGAACTGGATTATTGGCTCCAGCAGCCAATTGTTCTACAACTCAGATAATCGCCAAGGGCAGGCGGCTATGCGATGGGCAGGCCGGCACCGGAAAAATAGTTCGCTGATTTCTTGCGTTCCGCTTGCAGAAATTTGGAAGAATGTTGGTGAATATTTAGACGAATGCTCGGAGAACAATTGCGGCCTTTTCATAGATTAGTTGCGGCGTAGAGGCCGCATTCTCGCGGACTTTCCGCGAGAGTATGCAAAATTATTGGGGGCCGCGCCTTCCTTTGTGAAGGACCGCACGGCCCGTAGGTACCTTCCGCGAAAAAGTACCCCAAACTCGGGTAATCAAGCCAGCGATGACACTCCCACATAAAGTCTCACCTGTGCTCGACGTACGCCCGAAACTGCGTAAAAAGAGTCCGAGCGCTTGCTGAAAGTTTGGCCAGCGCCATCCAGGAATGATATCCACGAAGGTCCATAGTGGAGGAAAATGGACTTTCAAATCCTATTTAATTCGTTCGCGGTGGGGAGTGGTCAGAATCTGCTTTCGCTCGCGTTATTCAAAATTTTTTATCCCATCGCAACCACGAGGCAAAGCGGTGTGATGTAAATGATTCAACCCGAAAAGCTGTAAATGATTCAACCCGTCCAAGGTATAGTTATGCTGCACATCGACGCCAATCTGATTTTTGACGCGTCCTTTGAATTTTCACCCCCGGATGGTCATTTCGTATCCTGCGACGTTGTCTGGATTCTTCCGCTCATCATTCTGAGCAAGTAACGTCCAAGCTGGAGAAAATTCATTGCAAAAGCATTGAAAAAGCAGTGTAAAGAAAAACGAACTTTTTTGGTAATTTTCACCATAGAACCGGCATAAGCAAAGAAGTAAGCTCGGCGACGTTGTCTACATCATAGACAGAAACAAGGCCTATCGAATACACAAAAAAACCGAGTGAAAAGAGCTAAACTGAAGAAAAAACAAGAGGTTTTCGAAAACTTCGTTTTTCCTATATTTCTCGTCTAAATCATAAAAAGGAGTCTTGCGACGTTGTCAGCGTGAAAATAGAGATCAAAAGCTTTAATATGATATAGAATGTCGAAATTGGGCTCCCAACAACGAAGAAAAGGGTACCAGAGCCAAATGCCCCGCGCCCCGCTTTTGGGGTAGCGAGGTAGCGCGCAAGTCGCGGAGACGCAGACGAGCAGCGGAGACAAACCAGAGCCGGCGGGGCATTTGGCTCTGGTCATTGATCTCCGCGGGATCATAACGAAACCCTGTAACATTATATATCGTTGTGATCCTCATGAGACGTCCAGAAGCACTGACAACGTCGCGGATCTTGAAAATAACTCCATAACGAGATAGACCAGCATTTAAGTGGCGAATCTCTGCGCAAGATTTGAGCGCAGTTTCTCGTTTCTATTAAACTCCGGCGGCTTTCTTGAACTTCCAACGCTCAATCGAAGTCTAGAGAAAGATTGAAAAATTTTGCTCCAGTTCCTCATTGAATTTTTGAATAAAAGTCTTTTTGGCAAAAAAGGGCCATAAAAACGTAATCCTTCGGTTTTTTGAGCTTCTTTTGGATGTCACTACTATATTTACCTCATTCACATCTCTCCTTATATGGATATGTCATTAGTTATGCCATGATATCCGGGGCTTCGCCCCGGATAACTTCCCTCTAGGTGAAGGTTGGGTTCTATCATGACGCTCAAAGTGAAGGTCACCAGAGTACGTGGCTCTGTGTAGCGAAGGTATGGGCTACAATGTATTTGAGGGGGGGGGGTCAAACTCTCGAGAGAAGGTCTTTGAGGATGAATCCAAACGCGACCCATCTTGAGCGAGTGATAGCCAACTTGCAGAAAAGCTTTGCAAGAGGACCTCACGAATTACAGGCAAGCCAAGACACTGAAAGCAGCTGAAGGAATACGAAGTCTTTGAGCCAGCGTCCGGGAAAACTTCGAACAAAACTTTTTTCCATATTTGTGCTTATTCTTCCCGCTGGTCCGAGAATGCAGCTTGCAGAGTACAGAAATGTCGAGAATGGGCTACTTAAAAAGGTGTTAATGAATATGAACGCTTGCCGCTGAAGTTAAGACGCAGAGTGTGACGGGACCTATGTTTTGAGTGTGCGACGTACGTACTTCGGCTACCGATTGAAGGTGCGGGCATGTCGCTTGCATGTTCTAGTCTACTTTTGAAGCGGTTTTCTGACTTCAGAAACAAAATGGTGCAATGCAACTCAGGCAATAGCTCTATCAGGCCGGGAGCTCCTGTACGCTATAGATCCGTGTCTGCCCAAACGCTTCCTTCAAGAACTGCCGAAGACACCTTCGTGAATCTCACGTGCCCTGGCTGCACAGGTATATGTCGCCGAAAGTGGGCAGGCTCCGCGCGGATAATGCAGCAGGTAATCAGCCTGTGCATGCATTGGAATGTGTATTTGTTACAGATGTCCGAGGACCTCCCACTTTCGGCGACATAAAAATCCCTACCCCTGGCTGCACTACTGAACGAAAACGAGACCCGACTTTTTCCTAAGATGAGAACAATCGCGAGAAACTTCTACACCAACCTCTCAAGCTCATCAAATATCGTGCCAATGCCCGTGGTGGCACTTCTCCAATGGAATAGGTTTACACAGGAAAAGCACCCGAATTTTACCTGCTGAAGTGCATACTGTGATGCAGACCGTGAAGACGTCCACGACTCCAGGACTAAATCATCTTCTCAAACTTCTGCAAGCCGGAGGACAACGTCTACATGGGATTCTCGCGTCGCATTTAATATCTTATCTTCAAAGAAAAGGTTTCCTAACCAGTAGAACTTCAGGGACCGTCCTTCACAAGGAGTACCAACAGGAAAATCTTATGAACTACCTACCGTCCAATTGCCTGCTGACTGTGCTGTATAAGCTTTCCGCAAGACTATCCTCCCACGCTCTAGTACATGGATAAAGCCGCCCCAATGACAAGCTAAATTCCGCAAGGGATGGCAGCCGCACGGCCACATTTGGATGGTTTTGAGAATTACAGAAGTCTGCCGGAGTACCAACTGCCTCTTATTCTACCTTTCGTCGACTACAAGAAAGCCTTCGACAGGTCGACAACGCCATCCTGTCAGTGCTGGTCAATCAGAGTGGACCCAGCTTACATGAGGACCTCAGCCAACTGCTACAAAGACCTACAACAAGAATGAGGCTATTTGATTGCCTCCTGACCATCCCAATTAGGAAGGAGGTCCAACAATGTGACATTATTTTACCAAAGTTGCCCACCGCGGTCTCGCAGTCGTTGATGAACTGTGTGGTCACTGGACTGGAACGAGAGGCTTAAGGTTGTGAGAGGCTCCCGTCGAACCTTCGTTTTGCGGACAACACTGTCCCTTTTTGAGCAGTATCACTCAAGCAGAGACGATGCTGAAGGCAAAAGAAGTAGGGAAGAAGATTGGACTGCGATCAAATTGCAAGAAGACATGGAGATGCGACGATGAGAAGATGGGAATGGAGTTGGAAGTCACCTCTATCATTAAGACGTCTTCTTATGTATGGACGTTCCGTGGGGAAAACGACTGAAGGGAAGAACTCAACAGGTGAAGAAGAGAAGCCTGGGCGGACTTAGTGCCCCTGAAGGAAACCACCCTGAGCTTCCATCCCACCTGCTCGAATCAACCGTTCTCCTAACGGTCTGTTACGCGAGTATGGAGCTAACATGAGCTTCGTCGAAAGCTCTATGAAGCACTTGCAAAGCTCTCTAACCAGTCTTCTGAAATGAACAAACACAAACGACATCTTGTCGACTTCACAATACGGATACGAAGAATGTACCGCCCTTCTCAGACAATTCTGCACGCAAGCGGCGCGCATCCACGGCCAGCAGGGCAGGCGGCGCGCCGTGATTTGTGGGCGTGGCCCTGCAGCGCACAGGCGGCGCGCACTGATTTCAGCCAACAGGCGGCGCGCAATGCATGTTCGCAGGCGGCGCGCAATGCATGTTCGCAGGCGGCGCGCAATGCATGTTCGCAGGCGGCGCGCAATGAACTTTCTGTAGCATCACGTAAGCGAAGGAAGAGCTTGCTTTCGCGCGCTGCAGAATTTTTTTCCAGATAATCGTTCCTCCTCGTTCCTCCTTGTTTTTTTCATACAAGGTATTGAGTTGTTTACCTCACCTTTACTTTGCTCTTTCACCTCTTTTTCTATTTCTAGATTGTTTTGAACAAGTATATGCGATTTTTTTCTGCCTTTTTGTAGCACGTCCTCCTTTATTCCATCCAAATTCACTCTTGTTTCTCAGTCTTTCTCGGTCTTGCATATCTTTTATCCTACCTCTGGTTCTTAATCATATTGACCCCGTGACACGGGGACGCTCATTTTCAATCAATAACGCTTTCTTGCGTCGTTGCGCCTCTTTCGTTTCTTTCCGTTGCCATTTCTTTCTCTTCTTTTTTCACAATATAAACTCAATGTTGAATTCAGGTCACAACTGCCTTAGTACAATGATGGCTACGTGTGAATGCCGAAAAAAGTCAACCTCAAAAGAGTAAGTATTGTTTTTAAAGCCAAAGTAGGTTTTTTGTCTAAAAACATATTATTGTATTTCAGCCAGCAATCTACAATGACCCCAAATACCAAGAATCAAGACAATTTATGGTCGTGGGAACCTCAGCCCTGACTATCTATCTTGAGGAGGTGAAAAATTGCATTTTTTCTGTACTCGTCAGAATTTTTGTTGCTTTTTCTCTTCAGTTTGCTAATAGCTTGTATTTCAGCGCCACAGCAAGCGTCTAGCACCGACTAGTGGAATCAACCCCTGATAGAACAAAGACCATTACGATAACTAACGAGGACGAGGCGATCCAGACTATTCATGTCTCATTTATCCCAATTCTTATTCTTATACCCATCATGTCACCGTCATTCAATTGTTTGATTCCTGTGGTTGAATTGGGTGTATGGAATCAATGAGCATTTGCTGGCTGATCAAACATGCCCAGGTTTTGTTCATTCCTATCGCATTTTCATATTTTATTCCTCTACTGTACATATATCTACTGTACATATATTATGTATCATCTATGTATACATGTCCAGGTTATTTATCAAAAAATTTCGTGATTAATTGGCGGTTATTTGAAGTTATCTTATCATACTGTTACTGTTACCTTTTTATTAACCTCATTGTATTGATTACTTCATACACACGTCTTGTTGATATTACGTTTGAATGCAAATACGTTGTTGATGTTGACTTTGAAATGTCTGTGAATTTTGTGTGTACTACCTGAGCTAATAGTATTGAATGCCAGCTGTCAAAGACAGCCTTACTCCGCAAATACTTTATTTTCCTTGCAATTTGTGTTAAAAACCTGTCAAATTTCAAAATTGTAGATAGTATTCGTTAATAAAATAATTGTGAAACTATTGTCCAACAAGCATAAGATATTCAGACCGACAACAAAAATCCGAGCAGATTCCTGCCAAAATTTTTCTCATAGCGCGCAGGCGGCGGGCCTTCAATCCATAGGCGGCGCGCACTACACATACAGGCGGCAGGAAGGTACCATCGGCTCCTCAATTGCTGCGAGGGCGGTCGCGATGGTCAACCGATAATCTTTATCAGCTATGTTTCAACACAGGGCAACCGCATCGCCGATACGCTCGCCCGAGTCCGCCCTCGCGGCAATCGGGGAGCCGATGGTACATCGCTCGCTGATTCAGTGCGCGCCGCCTGCGCGCAGATTTGTCTGAGTTGTGACCCAGCGCTTTATGTTGCGAAAGTGAAGCATCGATGGGACGTAACATCAAGAGTAGAGCATGACAGGTGCACAGCCGAGTAGATTTCCTACTTAATATAGTGTAGCTGCAAAGCGAAAACGCTTGTGCGTCATCAGTTGTCATTGCGAGTTTCCGAGCAAGCGGTTTCCAAAGTTTTCTCTGCTTATTCTTTCTTTTTTTAGCCAAGTCGTTGCTGATAAAGGGGAACAAGATAGGTTAGAGAGGTAGTTTCTGTTTTAAAAATGGTTTTTATCGTCGCCTACCACAAGTATCCAAGTAAAGCACGTCGCGTCAGTTCATGTGCATTTTTTGTCATTCTCTTTTCTTTCGTCACTCCTTGCCTCTTTCCAAACATTTCTTTCCTTAGTAGGCTTGCACTGCAGCAACTTGGGCTTTTACAAAAAGAAATAGCGTTTACTCACGACAAACAATAAGTTACACGTAAAAGCCTACTAGCGACAAAGCTTCCTCTAGATAAGCACCCGCCATACTTACCCCTCTTGATCCGCTTGATCTGCTTGATCCGCTTGCTCCGCTTCTTGCAGGACGCGTGCAAAACGCGCGCACACAGCAGTCTGTCATTTGACGTCACGTACAGCGAATTTGCTCAACCATACGAGATTGTTTTTTACCTACGCGGCGCCAAATGACAGACTGCTGAGTGCGCGCGTTTTACACGCGTCCTGCAAGAAGGGAGCAAGCGGATCAAGCGGATCAAGAGGGGTAAGTATGGCGGGTGCAATACCTGGGAATAAACGATGATATGACTACGTGAATTGGGAGGAACTAGTATTTGATTTACCTTTGCCTCCTTCAACAACCAAACCTAAAAAGCAAGACTGAGCTAAGAGTGCCTTCATATCGAGCCAGCAACCGCCGCTAGCCGCCCGTAGCCACTTGAGCGCACTATCCCAGTACTCCGAGGCTTTTCCAAAACGAAAAGAGATCAACTTATTCGTAATCAACATGTTGAAAACCCCATCAAATCAAGTTGAGCAAAATCACGTTTTCAAGGGCACAAAAGCGGCTAGCGGCGGCTAGCGGCGGCTATCGGCGCGGTATGAAGGCACCCTAAGAAAACAGTGAGAAACACTCGCGGAAACTCGCAATGGCAACTGCTGATCCACAAGCGTTGTCGCATTTGCATGGGCATATATCAAGCAGGAAATCTATTCGACTGTAAGCTAAGAACAAGAAATTTCGGAACTATTTCACATTAGTTGACCCAGAAAATGAAAACGTGGGTTTTGCCAAAACTTTGCCTGAGGGGGGTTATCTTGAGGCTGATTACGAATTTCACATTCATTTCGCACGGTAGTGCCATCCGATGAAGTTAATGTTGGATTACACAAGGGGTCAAAACCACGCATGTGCCCTAAACTTCGTCTAGGGGGGATCTTTGGCACCCTAAATAAAAAGATCATATTCATTTCGTACGGAAGCGCCATTCTCCTGGGTTATGGTGAGTATATGGTAGACTAGTGAACCAGTAAGGAAAGGTGCTAGATTGTATCCGCGCGCTTCGGGACCGCATTGCGGTCTTCCGCTATTTGATGATTTTTGAATTGGTGTTACGTTTCTTTATATATTAGACATACCGTCTGCGCCCCAGAGAGGTTCCCATGTGAACCAGCGTGCGTACGTGGTGCGACGCTGCCTTTCGCTCTTTTTGACACGTTTCTCCTGAGATTTCAACGGAAGTGCCCAAAGTTAACACGTTCAAAAGTTCGAAAGGCAGCGAGAAGACGTGGTACCTGTTGGAATCTCGCTGGGGAACAAACGATAGATATAGATATTAGACGGCCAAAAATCCCGAGTTTGCTCAAAACTTTGCCTAGAGGGATTTTCAAGCACGCTGCTTACGAATGTCGCATTCGCTTCGCGACAGAACAGATTTCGCAGTCGTTGCACCGTTTGCTACAGCACCCCCTACCGCGCCCAACAGGGTGTTCGTGGCGGACCAGCGTACCTGCGAACTTCGAAATGAACCTAATGCAAAAGCAGTTCTGTCCGAGGTTCTGGGCGTACAAGAACTACAAGGACGTCAAAAGATGAGCAGTTTTTTTCGCACCACACAGGTTGATGTATCATAAGCAGATTCTGGGTCTATTGCTTTCAAAACCGTTGCCTAAATTGGCATATTCGTAGTTGCTTTGTTTTTTTCTCTAACTTTCAGCCCTGGATCATCGTTCTTTCTCTCTTTCAAGGTTTTTCTACTAGGATAATGAGCGTAGCAATGTTATGAAGGTTCCCCAAAACTTACATTCCGGTCACCCCATTCTTCTAGTCTGAGTTTCGCCATCTACATGGCAAATGCTGTTTTTTTTTGTTTCAGTCCCCTCAATTGTAATAAATGAGTGACTAATGAAACGTAAACATGATTATTGATATTTTTCACCTTCATTCACTTCAGTTCCTCAGAGGAATCCTATCATAAGCTTTAACACTGATGCTAGCTAGACAGTGTACTACCTACCGCCTACTAGTCACTGAGTGCAATGAATATCGATGTGTTATACCTACGATCCAAAGGATCAGCAACACATCATATCAACTCCAGGACCACTTTATGCAATTAGTGAGGGGACACCTTTTGTGGTCGCATTACTATATTGTAAGTTAAGTCAGCACCGGAATCCGAACGAATAATAGTTTCCCTTCGGATGCAGCCTTACGAATAGTGACAAAATGCGAAGAGAAAACGCTGCAGACTGACAGTGATCATGGGTGCAGAATAGCATCGCAAGTTCCTTTTGAAGTTCGTGAGTGCGCGATGGTCCTGCCAGCAAATAGCGGCTTTCGCTTTGCTACGAACGCATACAGTTCCTAAAGCTGTTGCGTTAGACTGTACTTTGGCATGACCTCAGTGTCAATGGATGGAAAGACCTCAGCAATGGTTAAATTGTAACACTATCTTGAGTTCTCAAAATTAAACACGGTGTAAGATCCAAATTCATGTCGTCACTCTTCCATGAATAAGACAATGAACTATACTAAGTTATATAGTAAAGTATAGCTTTCAACATCTATCAAGGTGATTTATGCAACTCAACAACTCATCGAGAAGGGCAAAATTCCGAACATCCTTAGTGCGATATTCATTCTTGGTTTTTACCAGCACCGTTTCCGGAAGATGCAGAAAATGAACAGAATAACAGCTATTTTTTGATTTCCGAGAAGTATCACCCACCTAAATAGGTCTGTTCATTTTCTATGTATGATATATCGAAACCCTTGACTGATCTATTCCACACTTGATGGGAAAAGACAGTAATTTCCAGTAGTCAGTTGAGCTTAGGGCAATTACGGTGAAATGCAAATTGGGGTCGAAGTGCGTAATTTCCCTTCTTCAAAATACTTGAAGTATTGCCTAATGTTTTGTCTAGTGAACCACAGGGTCAAACTCTTGGCAATAACTATGCAAATGCAATTTCCAACCAGGGACGATGTGATTAACTCGGCTTCGAAATCAGTGAGTTGAACGCGGTCACGCCACGAACAACCTGTCGGGCGCAGTAGGGAGTACTGTAGCAAACGGTGCAACGACTGCGAAATCTGTTCTGTCTTCGCACGTTAGAGCCTTTTTGTGAATTTTGGTATCTAAATTTGGCTGAAAAGCGGAAAAGTTGCTCTTTCACGCGCTGTACTCATCGTGACCAGGGTTGAGCGTGGGGTCAGGCGCGCCCGACCTGGGGGGTCGTACTGGGGTAAGACAGAGGGGGGGGGGGTCGTGATTAGGAATCGAATTCGTTCGATTGAGGAGATACTACGATTAAGGTGAAGAAGAAAAGCGCTAGTTCAGTGGATATCGCGACCTCACCAGTACTGAAGGAATGAACAGTCTTAAACAGCATACTGATTGATTCCACAATCGAAGTTTCGGCCAAAACTCAAATCTTCATCTTCTACCTTGACATATTATAAATTCATCAAGGAAGCTTGCTGTGTGAAATGGGTATCATTTCCGAGCACGTCAAATTACCTCTATGAGCCCTACAAACCATTATTTACTGCATTATCTAGTGTTTCTCAACGACTATAAAGCGTGATTTTCAAACATGATTAACTTGTTTTCAAAAGTGAGAAAAGTCAATTTTTTGTACTCGTAACAAAGTATTGTTCCCTACTAGTCTAGGCTAAAAATCGCGCTTTGTATCGCTTGCAAATAGTGGAGTAAGAAATAAAGCCAAAATTCCGACCGGCGCGTTTTTCGCCATGACTGCTTCAACTCCACGGATTACAAGGCCGAAACAAGTCGAATCAAGTCCAAACACTTACTGTGGAATCTTCGAGGGTTGTGCTAGCGACTCACATAAAACTTGAATAAAAAAGCTTCTTCAATGATAAAGTTAATCGGGTCAGGCGCAACCCCACAAAAGGTCAGGCCGCCTGAGCTTTTGAAGGGTTGCGCCTGAACCGATTAACTTGTTTTCAAAATCTAAAAATCGCTCCTTTTCTGCTATGAGTATTGAACTCAAAGCCTCTTCTTGCAATACTGCAAATTTGGAGCCAAACAATACACCCCTGTGGGAATTATAGCTCTAAAAGTAGGGCTATCCAAAATCCAAAACTTGCCGTCAAGTTGCGTGTGCTGTGCAATCGCAGAAAGTCGACCTACAGACCTCCAAAAAACAAGAACCTCCCAAAAACGGCTGATCTCTTCGAATTATCACAGCCTGAGGTCCTGGAGGTGAAGTAGAGGGGTCGTTTAAGGGCTTTCAGTGGGGGGGGGGGGGGGTCGTTTTGGAAAGACTTGTGCCTGACCTCTTGCTCAACCCTGATCGTGACTCTAACAATTAGGCATTGTTGCAGCGAACGAGCATGATATCTGCAATCAGTATGATTAAGGAATCCCTTCAGGCAAGGTTTTGAGCAAATTCGGGATTCTTAATCATCTACCGCGTACCCACCGTAACCCGAAAAATTGGCACTACTGCACGAAATCATATCTGTAATCAATATTCTCATGTACAGCTTGTCAGATAACCCCCTGGACGAAATTTGGGGCAAATTCATGATTTTGAACCCCCTCCGTAACCCCGCCGTAACTCCACCAGATGGCACTACTGTGCGAAATGAATGTTATACTCGTAATCAGCGTGCAAGACAACCCCTCTAGACAGAGTTCCAGGGAAATCCGCAATCCTTATTTTTGGGTCAATTAAGGAGGAATAACGCCGGATACGTATGACTGAAGCGAGGAACAGGGACCATTGGAAACTTTTGTGTTGAAGGCTCACGTGCCACGTGAAGACGGGCCATCTAATGTAAGTAACCTTTGATTCAAACAGACTGGCGGCTGGAAAGCGGGGTTCCGTGACCTTCAGGTTAGAAAATGGTCAAAGAGCATGTTGGCGGGGGAGGCGCAGAATGCGTCGCGGACGCGAGCAGTCGTTCCCCAGGTTATGAAGCCCCATCTTCCAGCAGCCAATCTGATTGAAGCAAGGGGTAAACGGCATTCAACAAATCGACGATTGCGCGACCGCGAGCGATACGTTCGCAGTCCAGGCAACCCATTTTCTTGGTCTTCATCCATACTCGAATAGATTTTCTCTTTACATAAGATAGTATTTAGACATTGGAAGTGACTGAGCTGAGAGTTGAGGTGGTGTCCCTATGTATAAGCATTTCTGCTTCTGTGGGCGCAAGAACCGTCAAATCCGTCATCGCAATTTTATGAATAACGATATCTGACGAGGAAAAGATACCTCGGTGATCGTGGCCTTTTGCAATGAGATGTATACCAGTAGGTGCTCTTGGAACGCTGATTCTAAACCTGTGTCCATTACTGCTGTGCTACTCCCTGAACGAAGTTATAGATTTTTTTCCAGATTGATTTTGCGAGATTAGGCAATCAAAATCGTCAATATAAAGGCTTTTTAGATTCTGATGTATCGTGACAGCTTTTCTGACCTCAACTGAAAGTTTTACTCCATTTGTACGCTCTTTTGTAGTGCGTAAGCGAACATTGCAACGATGTTGCTGAATCCTGCATCAAAACAGTGCAAATTTTGGTGACAAGAAATGTTCATAACTTCTTTCGGGAGAGCGCACAGCAGATAATGAAAACAGATTTGGAATCAGCGCTTCAAGATGCATTTAATGTTGTAATATTCAATTCAAAAGGCCACGGTCACCAAGTATCTTTTCCTTGTAAGTAACCTTTTCCTTGACTATCATGGATTCCGAAAACGACTTCTTTAAAGGTATGTCCTCTGCACCTTTGACGTTTTTCGTTTCCATGGTATTCCGATCTTTTTCATCAGGCTGAGTACATCCGTTACTTATTTAAATTTGCTTTCACGGCTTCAACCGCAGCAATGCAAACAGCCCGTATACGTTCGCCGGGTTCGACTCTTGACAATAACTACAGGAGTTTGGGAACCTCGCTTTTGTAGAATACAAATCCCTTCTAGCAATGACGACTACCGAAACGCGCGCCTTTCGACATACACCCAAGATTCTGAATTTGATCGCACTCACCTGATATTTCTGCTTCTCAGCTTCGAGGTTGTTCAAATGAGACATGGTCGACGTCATCATCTGAGGAAAATGTTTTGACAATTCCGCTATTAAGAACAGCATCAACAACTTACTGTAACTTCTTCTAGCCCATTTGAGATACTCGTAACGTTATCGGAGGTCTGGTGATGCTTTTCGCGAGGCATCGGCGCTTCATCTTCGCTTATTCCTAGAATTGTAACATAGTAAGAGAATTTTTGTTCATGAAAACGAACTCAGACTCCATGTTCAGTAAGACTGTATCTAACAAAATCGAGCGCACTTTTCACATAAAAAATATACATTGACCACTGCGATATGAACACCATGCATTTACTGCTGCATTATCCAAGACTAATCATGAGCCGACTATGAGTGAAAATGGAAATTTTGGGCACAAAGTCGAACCTTTCAAGCTGCTTTCAAGTGTGGTACACACAGTGCCATGTTCATCACGAAGCGCCTCTAAATTTTGTTGAACAGTTCGCAGGCCCGTCGCAACGTCCTCTTGCGAAATGTTACTCATCCTCGCCAAACTTTCAATCTTTCGCCTAAAAAATATAAAGTATAGTCTTCAAATACGCTGAAAACGCTGACAATAGTAATTCACTGAGTTGTGCTTGTAAACTAGGGGTTCAATACGCACTACAGAGTAATTCAGGACAAGCCATTCAACATCATAATGGTTCAATACACTTCCCATAAGCTAAAAGTTGCCATAACACGCAGCGAGTATAGAGCTTTCCCCAAAGTGTTGTAAGATTTGGCCTCAAAAGAAGTACAGGTACTATTCCACATAAGTTGACCCAAAAAATGAAAACCGTGAATTTTGCTAAAACTTCGTCTAGGGGGGTTACTTGGTATGCTGGACGCGAACATGATGTTTATTTCGTGCGACAGCGCCATTCGGTGGAGTTACGGTAGGACTACGGTAGAGGCCAAAATCACGGATTTGCCCGAAATTCTAGGCCCAGAAAGGTTATTCGGCCCGCTGAGCCGAATATGACTGATTTTGAATTGATTTGATTTTGAACCGTAGCCTCATTTTCTCGGTTATGGTAGCTACACGATAACGGGTGTAAAACATAGTTCTGCCTGGAACGTTTGTACGGCAATTCGGACGATCGCGAAGCTTTGCACACACGACCACCGTCGCGCGCTACACACCCTGCTGCGGATTTTGCCTAAGCAAAGCACAGGGGAAGGATACATTTGCCAATTTGTATTTTGACCCCTACCGTAAACCCACCGTAACCTGGCAAGGAACATTTTTGTGCGGAGAAAGTGTGACATTTCTAATCAGCATGTCGAACCCTCTGTGCGAATTTACGCGGATTTTGAGATTTTGACTCCCTACCATACACCCATTATACCCACCGTAACCCGAGAAATTGACGCTACGGTACAAAACCAATATGATATTCGGTGTCAGCGGGCCGAATAACCCCTCTGGGCTAAGTTTCGGGCAAATCCGTGATTTTGACCCCCTCCGTAATCCTACCGTAACTCCACTGGATGGCAATGTCGCGCGAAATAAACATCATATTCGTGTTCACATGCCAAATAACCCCTCTAGACGAAGTTTTCGCGAATTTCCCAATTTTCATTTTTTGGGTCAACTAATGTGGAATAGCGCCAAAGAAAGGGATATTGTTTTATGTCATGAAAACGACGAGTAAAAACATAAGCGGTAGAAATCAGATTTGCAAAGAACTTCTAAAGTCACGTCGCTACCGTGCCGGCGTAGGCGCGGGTGACAACAGAGTGTTTAAAAAGGTATCGACGTAGGTGGCATTAAGGTACAGTCGAGTAGATTCTTCGCTTAAAGGCAGCCTCCAGGCAGATCTGGACCTATGGGGATTTCACGTGGAAAGCACTTTTAGAGCCCTAACTAAGGCACTGCCCAAGCGGCAGCGCAGGTAGCGCTCTAACGGCTAACGAATTCCTCTCGTGGACTCCGCGATCATATTCGCATGGATTCGTGGCAGTTTCGCGCTTGGATCCACGCTTCGCGCCATGAATCCATGCGAAATACGATCGCGGGGTTCAGTTTTGGGGGAATGTCTCAGCCGTTAGAGCACTACGCTGCCGGTTGGGCAGTAGCTTGGTTAGGGCCTTAAACTTATTATCTGTTTGAGATCCCCATGTGTCCAGACTTGCCTAGACGCTGCCTTTAATATAGTGCGCTTGCACAGTTTATAAAATGCGGTAGAATTTGCGCGTGAACAGGTAGCTGCGCCAGCATTGTCGGCATTTTGCGCGCGCAGTCGGCCGGCGTCACAGTCGAAGCTAATTCCTCACGCGCAATTACCGCATTTCACCTTCTGTGCAAGCACACTATATTAAGCGGAAAATGTACTCTGTAAGTGGTATCAACGTAGCACTGCAATTATGCTTGGTAAATCTAAAAGAGAACAAGATTTTGGGATTACAACGCAGCAGAGTAGATATAGTCGTCCTCACCCCACTACTCAGATAATCGCAGGGGGCAGGCGGTCCGCAAACTCGCGCTTTTCTGCCGGCGGTCAGCAGAATTTTGGGGCGTGGCCAAACCTTCCGCGGGCGGCACTTCCTTTACGGTTGCATATTCTGCCAGCGGGCAGCAATACAGCATTCTTTGCAAGCGCTCGCCAAATGATATCTTTCAGCGAGCGCTGGCCAAACTTTCAGCAAGCGCTCGGACTCTTTTTACGCATTTTCGGGCGTACGTCGAGCACAGGTAAGACTCTGTGTGGCAGAGGTGTCGCCGTTGGTTTAATTACTCAAGTTTGAGGTACCTTCTCTCAGCGGAAAGTACCTGGGGGTTGCGCGGTCCTCCACAAAGGACCGTGCGGCCCTCGAAACTTTTGCATATTCTCGCGGAAAGTGCGAGGATGCGGCCACTGCGCCGCAGCTAATCTATAAGGAAACCGCGATTGTTCTCCAAGTATTCGTCTAAAATTTCGCTAAAATTATTCCAAATTTCTGCAAGCGGACCGCAAGAAATCAGCGAACTATTTTTCCGGTGCGCGCTTGCTCGAAATTCGCATGGCCGCCTGCCCCCGACGATTATCTGAGTAGTCGGTCGGTGGGCGAATTCGAAATTGAGCTGGAGCACGCCGGTCGCGGCAGAGCGCGGCACCTAAGCCCTCAGTTCAAACCTTCGCCTAATTTTTCCTTTCTATTTAACCTTTAATTGGTAATATGTGTACTTTGACGTTCTTGAACAAAATCGACGTTTTATTATTGTTAAGCGTCGTTTCTGGCTGCTGTGCTCGGTTTTTGCTTGAGTGGGCTTCAAGAAACGATAGAGATGGCGATTGTGACGTGCAGTTCACCTCTATAGCAGCACTTCTGCACATTTTACTTACAGGGGAAAGATTTACAGCAGTTGTCTCCCAACTAGATCGTCCCTTCAAGCCGACCCCTGACTCGTACCTATAGTTAAAAATGGCTGCGAAAATCGCGCCCCATGTCCCAGTGCAAATCTGTACTCCGCGCGGGAACCCTGGCGATTAAGCGCGCACACCCTATAACTTTCAGCGCGAAACAAGTGACACTGAAGGAGAAACGTTCTTTCTGCAGGAGAATCACAAAGGCCCGTATGCACGTACGTCCCCACTGGGGAGGGGAGGGGAGCTGGATCCCCAGGGGAACGATCCCCTCCGCCGAACCCCGCCATGACAGAGGGGAGGGGAGCGATCCCCTCCTCTGCACCTGAGCGGGTATGGTGTGAATGATTTCAGAGGTATTGATCGAGCGAACCCCAGTGCATACGGGGTTCGAATGGGGGAGGGGATCCCTTCCCTTCCCCCACTCGAACCCCGTATGCGCGAATTCAACTCAATAACGCGGGGGAGGGGATCGACATCCCCTGCAACGAAGTAAGGGTTCGATGGTGTAGATCATGCCAGAGACGCGGATATTCTGGTTCTGCTCAGTCATTACCAAGCATTTCGTTCATTTTGATGGAGGATTTTCTTTGAAAGCCGGGTTCTTCTCTCAGCGACCTGTGGCTTGCAATTTGTCTTTCTTTTCTATATTCGCCTCTTGAGAAGAAATCCGAGCAACAATAGCTGCCAATTTCGATTATTCGTAGGAGTTCTTGATCATTCAGAAAATTTGCGCATTTTTCATATAACATAATAGTTTTAACTATATAGGCTGAATAAACACACTGTAACTTTCATATTTTATGACATGTTGCCATTATCTTGTTTTTTTAACATAAGCTGCCTCGAAAAAATCTAGAAAGTAGCATATTTGCCTACTTCTGAGTAGAAATCCCCTGGGGAGTGATCCGCTCCCCAGCGTTCCCCTTGTGCATAGCAGGGATGGCTGCTGGGGATCATTCCCCTGGGATAAACGACGATATGCAGCTGATAGTTACAGCGTTTCTGGAGAGCTGGCACAATTTTCAGCTTCTGTTATGTGTTAGAATACTGCTTTGAGCGTCCGCGCGGCACCCCCCCCCCTTTTCGGCAGCATAACGTCTTCTACCCATTCCCTTGCAGAGACACATCAACTTCTATAGTACAACATTTTGACGCTGAAATGGAGCAGCATGAACGAAAGTGGGCAGCATCCAAGAAAGCAGGAACATAATGGGAGTAGAAAAAATCATTTTTAGAGCCCCGAGCGCAGTCACTGCATACGCACATTCCGCAACCCTAAATTTATTGAAGTGAGGAGATGAAGATGAGTTGCAGTCAAAATATGAAATAAGAAAGAGTTTTGCATAGAAAATTTGAAAGCAAGGTGATTTCCCCGCTTGATCCCCTCTTGTGCATAAGAGGGTTCACTTCCCCTCCCCACAGGGGATCCCTTGTACGATATTGTCTTTGTGCATACGGGAGTTCGCGCGGGGAGGGGAGGGGATCCCCAGCGGGGATCATTTCAATGGTTAAGCGCACATCCCCTCCCCGCGGGGATGTACGTGCATACGGGCCAAAGACAAGTGCAGCTGTTAACGTGCGGTGATCTACCTTTCATCTCTTGTCATCTAAATCATTCTTCATTGATATGGTGTCTCAAAATCTTGGCACGGATAAGACAGTAATGATTTGTGTGTGTCCAAACAGAGAAGAGCTTCCTACTAAAAATGCTTCTCATATGGCAGTCAAAGAAGAAGAAAGCTGCAGATCCAAGTGTCAAGAGGTAAGTACAGGGCTTTACAACCTGAGTGTCACAGCCGCCCCGCTCGGCCGCCACGCTTAGGTCCGCGCAGCGTTCGTGGCACCAGGCTGCGCGTCGACTGAAGCTTGGCGAAATCCGGGCAATACGCAGCAAACGCCGCGCGCGGCCTGAGCGAGGCGGCCGCGTTGGAGGAGCCGCGCAAGCGGAGGCTGTGACTCTTATGTTGAAAAGCCCTGTACTATTCATTCTGAGACTAGGAGACTAAAAACGCTTCAATCTGAAAAGCACTTTTGACAAATTTCATTGATGGTAGACCACTTGGATAGAACCAATTCGAGCATGTTCAGACAACTTGTAGATACAAAGCGTTTTCGAGTTTCTATTCCCAAAATGAAGTAGCTTGCGGATGAGCACTGCAAGTTCAGATGGATTTCGATAGAAT